ATTATTAATTCTCTGCTTAATTAACACTAATTTATTAAACTCTACTTTAAATATCACCATCTCTGCGAAGCTTTCCACAATTACCCGAGGCAGCACTAATCCCTTTTAGTCGACTGTGTTCCCAAAGCATTTTGTTCCTATTTGATTGAACTGTAAATAATTTTTAACATGTGTCTTTCTCCCTTGCTATACCATGTGCTCCCAAAATATAGACGCTGTCTTTTTAAAATTCATGCTGTATTCCTTCTCCCTAGTACAATTCCTAGACTGTGATGAGCACATACTGAGAACATGCTAGTGATCCATCTCTGCTGAGATAGAGAAATCTCCAGTCTTGGTCTGTACTTTGTATTTCTTTGGAATCTGCCACCACCCTCAGTGTTCCGATGTTCAAATAGAAGATATTCAATAAACATTTGTTGATGGACTGAGGCTGAAACTGCCTACCTGTGGAGCAAGAGACCATTCAGCCATATCAATGGCAACAGAAAGAATAAAAGAACCTAAGAGGAGACCTATTGGGCATGCTGTCCTTTGAAACAATATCTCCATGTTAGAACCAGAGAAGCCGGCGGAGATTAAAATGGGAGCATGCGAATGAAAAGCCTGTCCAAACAAGAGAGGCTCAGATAATTTTGTGGGACGAAAGGGATTCTTCCATGGCAGATGGGAAGTCATATACTGCGGTAGCAGAGAGAATAAACAAGGCAGAGACATGGAGTTCAAACAAAGACCAGAAGAATCCATAAAGAGCCTAGCAGAGGGAAGAAACACACTGAAATAAACAGATGGGTTCACAGAGAAATTACAAGGCATGAAAACAGACAATTCAGGTTCCCCAGAAAGAAGAAAAAGGAAGACTAGAAAACTAGCATGTCAGGAATCGAAGGAAGATGGTAGGGGAAATACAGGTGGAATAATGAAACAGGGTGGGGACACGGGGTGAGCTGCATGTTCACTAGAAATGAGCAATGAAATGGACAAAAACATTTGAAGTATAGGCAAACAGACTGGCACTCTTTGAGGAAATATGGTGGCTGAGCAACCATGTGGACAACTTACCAGATAGGGGTTTTAAATAATGGGTGAGGGAGGGGGTCTTGTATGCAAGTGGCAAGTGATAGTAGCCACAGCTCCTATAAATACTGTTCTGTGTAACACACACACACACACACACACACACACACACACACACACATAAAACACTGCACCTAAGGCTTTCTAACTTCATCTCCCAGGTATCCTCAATGCTGTTCATCTCCTTCAAAGAGACCTCGGTGGCTTTCTGTGAAGTACTTCTCCATTCAGGGTCCTGTTCTTTCTGAATGGAAAATTCTTCCCCTAGACATATATGTTGTTTTCTCTCCCTTAGGTTTGGGGTGTTAATTCAGGTATCAAGCAAGTTTTCTAAGGAATGTCTAGTCTCCTGACCCTGCTACGTAGGTTCCCATATGTACCAGTCTGTATTCAGTTGCTTCTCCTCACTACATGAGGATACATGAGAGCCAGGGTTGGCTAACTCTTGGTGCTATGACTGTGCAGTGCTGTTCTTTTCGGTGGTGGCTGTGAATCAGTGATTACTGCATCAAGCAACAGATTCATGGAGACTTTTACTGTTGTCACAGCTAAAAATTGGAATCCCAGTGAGTGCATATGACAGGGAAAAATGGAACCATCAAGCTGTCCTTTGTTAACATGTGGGGATTCCTGATGCTATAGACCAGGACTTCAGCCTTAAGAATTCTTCCATTCTTGTTGTCTCCCTGTCACCATGTTCTTCAGTCATTGTCCTATGTGCACAACAACTTTTCATTTTTTCCCTAGTTTCCCTTAGTTGCACATAGGGTTTTAAGTAACAATGGAAGAAAGCACGTAAGATGGTCCCATCTTGTGTCTAGAACACAGCAGGTTGTTGCAATGTCAATCTTTTCTTTTATGCCAAGTATGTACCCCCAAGTTTATCTATTTCAATATAGGCAATGTAAAATTTGTATCCCATCCCCCCAAAACTTCACCAAACTTTAAGAGAAAAGAACAAAGTACTGATTTATTATCTTTTTTTTCTTTAGCTCAATAGAATCATCAAATTTTAGTCAATTGGGTCCTCTTATTCAATCCCTTTCCATACCTATCTCTTGATATAATTGGAATTGCTAAAGCATGTTGAAAATTAATAAAACTGTATTGACTTCAGTACAGTCTTTACCATCATAAATATGCACCAAATGCAAAACTGTATTCTGGCTCACTTAATGCATTTTCCTTATTTCCTGTGTTTCTATTCCTATCTAGTTTATAGGACCAACCCTCCTCTGATTTAGTGCATTAATCACTGTGTGTAGCTGTGACCATACATTGAAAGAGCAACGTAACAAAGGAATGGCTTTGTGTCAATCCCTTAGAGGTTTCAGAGATGTCAGGCCATCATGTCAGTGGTGGAGCAGAATAGCTCACATCAAGGCAGCCAGGAAGCAGAAAGAGAGAGGACAAATAGAACTAGGATACCATACAGTTACTCCCCATGATTTTTAGGTCTACCTCTTTCCACTTTCCTACTCTTGCCATCATATATAGAAGCTTCAAGGAGTAGATTCATTCATTAGGTCAGGTCAGAATCTGTAGAAATGTCTTCAAAGACACACTCAGAAATGTGATTTGCTAATCTCTAGGCATTTCTCAAATCATTCAAGATGAATAGGCAAACAGCCACATCTAGGAATGTTTCCTTGGCTCCTTGGATCTAAATTAGGTCTCTTGAAAGATTCTGTACATCTTATAATCCTTATGTATAGCTCATGCCACAAGTGCAATTCTGCACTGTCTCTGCCAGTCTTTGTTTAATATTTGTCTCTTTCTTTTGGTATGCTTCATGGGCTTACAAAATATGTCTGTCATATTCCCTGAGCATTTGATGCTCAGCTCCTGGCACATTACTTTGTCACATGGTTTTTCTGAGGTGAAGACTCACCAGAAAATATAATGGCTTCAAAATTTTCAGCTTGATTAGTCGTCAGAGTTTCCTATTTCCCTACCTATTCTAGAGCTCATTTCAATGGCCAAAGAAGAAATAGCTATATCACCTATTATCTAACCTGTCAATTCTGAAATTATATCAGCTAGCAAATAGCAATTAGGGCAGACACTATATTAAACATGTTTCACACACCATCAAATTTATAACTCTATGGAGGCAAACACTTTTATTTGCTCCATTTCACAGATTAGTTTATTGAGGCAAGTTCAGTAATGCAACAGGCGATAACAGAGCAGTCAGACGTAATTTAGGAAACTCTTCCATCATAATTAGAATATGCTAAAGTCTTATAAACTTTGTGTTTCAGTGAAGCAAGTTTCTCCTAGGATGATGCATTTACAATAAAATCACTAAATAGAGTACAACTGCTAAGCCCAAAGAGAAGTGCCTCTTTGATACAGTTTGAATGTGTTAATCTGAAGTTCCTTTGGTGGAAACTTCACCTCCAAATTTGTTTGTGAAAGCTACTTCTCTACAGGTCCACTGGGGGGCCACTGGCGTTAGACAGGGTTAGGAGAATGGGGCTCCCTGGGGCATTAGAGTCCTTATTAGAAGGAGAAAGACCTGAAACGTGCTGCAGCAAGAAAGCCCTCACCAGATGTCAGAGAGATGTTGTTGCTATGCTCTTGGCCTTCTTGCCCTCTGTCACTGTGAGCCAAAGAAACTTATATTATTTATAAAATGCGCTCATCTCAGATATTTTGTAACAGCAATAAAAAAGTGACTAAAATGCATCGCTTGTCTAACATGGCTCTAACATATAACATGAACTTCATTTCTTCCTTTTTTGAGAAGGGCCTATCAGTAGCATCCTCCTCCTTTTTCACCTCTCCTCCTCCTAGTCCTGCTCCACTTCCTTTCAGACATGGTTTTGATACATGTTCCAGACTGGCTTGAAATTCTCAACCTACATTGTAGCCCGGGCTTCTGTGTATCTCACTTGTGGTTGTGGATATGGAAACTTAAGCAGAAAACAAAATTTCTCAAAACTGAACATATCACACACACACACACACACACACACACACACACACACACTGAGAGAGACACAGAGAGAAATAAAGAGAGAGAGAGAGAGAGAGAGAGAAGGAGGAGGAAGACAGAGAGACAGAAAGTCACAGAGAGAAACAGGAGAAACCTGTAGATAATTTGGAGAAATATCTCTGTGTGGTTATCAGGTATGTGGGAAATGCCTGAAACCCAAGCACTCAGGAAGCTGAGGCAGGAGGATCTAAACCAGCTTGAGTTGCAGCACCAAACCTTTTCTTTCAAAAAGGGAGGAAGGAAAAACCCAACCTTCTCCCCCAATCTTGACTGTGATGCTATAGTTTTACAAACCACTGCTGTTGAGACACCAGAGCAAGCCCACGTCAGATCCATCTGTTACTCACACAGATTTCTTTCAAAAATCAAAGATATAAGTAAATAAAGTGGAAAGGTAACAGATACACATAATCAGTTCTTAATGGTGATCTTTGTTTTGCCCATAATAAATTCTTGAGTATGAAATACATGGGACTTTTCTTTTCCTTTCTTTTCTTTTTGAGACAAAGCTAGAAAATCCCTCCAAATGTAAATTATATTGATGCCCTGTTACAGTCTCATAATTCAGTTGTTTTGTATGACTAATAGATTTCTTAAATTTAACTCTGAATTAAAATACTGGTAGTTAACTGTAAGAATATGAAGAATTCTTCTTAATATCTCCTGACACATTAATGCACAAAATTTCCATGAAACACAAACCTGGCAGTGATCTAGAAAGTGTGACATAAACCAAAGGGAGACACAAAGAAGAAAGTAGTTACTGTATTATTAGAAGGCATTGTCATGGTAGACAGAATTTTTAGAAACTTTCAGAACATTGAAAGGCAAAAACCAATGCTACATTTAAGAAGAAAAATCTTTAAGCCGCACCTGAATGGGAAATAAGTAAATTTATGAATTTGTCTTGATTTTTTTTTACCTTGATAGCAGGAATAGGCTTTTGTGGGATGAAGGGCTTTCTCTGGAGTGGAGAACAAGTTCCATTTTGATCTCTCGCTCTGATTTTACTCACTGCAATAATTTTCTTGCGCTGTTCAAGGTAAGGTCCAAAGCTTGGCAGTTTCTAAAGGGAAAACACACAAAGTAGAAATTGTGTTCACTCATAGAAACAGGGTGTGGGGGTCTCTTCACACAACTATCAACCATCAAATGTGTATTTGGAAACTGTTGCACATCCCTTGTCAACTAGCTCTCCCTTCCTTCTTGACTACTCGTCTTCTGTGAGTCAGATCCCACCTGGTATCAAAGAGAAGATAAGAGACGGATACTTCAGTCAAATATGTATGTGTTAGATGCAGATGTTAATTAAAATTCATGTCTAAGGGGAATGGATTTAACCATGGAAAACCAAATGCACTCACTTAAAACAAGAGCCATTAGGGAGACCATTTGTTTGGTTTGTACAGACAGAAGGTGAAAGCTATTGATGCTTTATTTTCCCCTTCGTCAAGTTTTTAGCACAATATAGACACAGCCACAGCCCCTGACAAATGCCTCTGTCAATAGAATAGGTGCTTTGCCAAAGTTCTCATCTGTATCTCCATTTTATTGTGTTCAAATTCTCACTGCGTCTCCTTAAAGATCGTAACTAATGTTGATTGCAACTTACGGGAAGAGTTGAAAAACAAAATGGCAAAAATATTGATTCGTCTGCACAGAAAATAAACTTTATTTTGCGTGAAGGAGGCAAAAAATAATAGAAGGAAAAGGCAGAGGGTCTATCAGGGTGCTTAAACAAACTCCATCAGTATTCAGCGTCACGGCAAAGCTTTAAATCTCAAGGTTATTCAATCGTACTTTACAAAGTTCATTTAGGAAGATACCTAGGTGCCATGGAAAAATGCTAAGTGGTTTCAAGTTAACACAAAAATGCCCTCATGCCATTCATTATCCCACAATTAAATACTCTCCACTGTGTCCTTCCCCTTTTCTGGAACCTTTGATCTTCACTTTTACTGACATATCCCACTGATGATAGACACCACTGAATTTCAAATGTTTTCCACCAGCCAGTAACCTGGAATTGCTGTGTCTTTTATATGACAGTGAGCACACCTTCTTGTTCCTGCAGAATAAAGCCCATTTATCCAGCTGATGGGGGTTGAGATAATGGCAGCACTCCAAGGTCATCCTGACCTCTGACCTAGCAGGGACTTCAGTGAGAAGAAATGTACTTGTTTCAAAACATTAGTTCTCACTTGTCAGCTTGCATAGGGAACCAGGGAAATGAGATCTTTGGAGATTTCAAAAAGGTTGGTAACAGAGCACAAGCAAGCCTATCAAGGCAGACCAGACTGTAGCCTTCGACCATATATTTATATTAGCAAAGAACATATTTGTGTGGAAATATACCTAAGCTTGTTACTTTGATTATAAATTCACTATAATTATGTCAAGAAGTCAAGTAAATGGAAAATGGAAGTCAATGCCAAATTAATTTATACCCAATTGGATTAGAATTATGTACTTCATCTCTATATCTTAGCACTTTTCCAAATTACAACATTTAATGCTTACAGTAACATGAAATGATATGATGGAGGGCAGAATATTTCCTGTCTATTTTACTGTTAAATGATGCTGGATTATTAAAAGCATAAAAAAATAGGAGTCTAAGAGGAACCTTCAGAACTTATCCCATAGGAAAGCTGCTTTAATATAAAAATAATTCTTACATGAAATGTCCTATTTAATGTTTGAATAATGATTGTTTGGATGCCTGGGGGAAAGTGTATTAGTGTTACACTAGAAAGACTGTCCCTTTAGGTCTAGATGATGTCTCATAAGTTCAGAAAACATATCACATGATGTAAGTCTTGTTAGAAGATCACTGTGCATATATTTTTGCTGCACATCAAGGGCCATTAACTCTTAGTCTTATACTGATACAGATGATCAAGAATGGTTCAGTGTTTAAGCATACAGCCTCTGCATCTGGCAGGCTCTCAGGCCAACTAATCCTAAGAAGTCTGAACCCTGATCCTGGTTGCTGCAATCGATAGTGTGTCTCTCTCAACACCATCTAATTCCACTTGAGTTTTGTAAAGGCTGTTCCAAAACAAACATTCTTGGAAGTTTGTCAATTCATTTAAAAAAAAAAAAAAAAACAAAAGACTTCAGTTTAGTTGATTTGTTATCAGGAGTGGAAGAGATAGCTCAGTGGTTAAGAGTGCTTACTGCCTTTTCAGGGGACCAGAATTTAGAATAAGGAGAATTCAGTTCACAGCACTTACACTGGGCCCATTACAACTACCTGTAACTCCAGATTCATGGGATACAATGTCCTCGTCTGGCTTCTAAAAACACCCATGCCCACATATGCTACACATAAACACATACATATAAATAAAATTAGATCTTAAAAATATTCTTCATTCAAATGGACAGAAGATATGTAGTTAAGCTGTAACCTTAAACCACTGCATACAGTGATAATGATGAGGATGCTAAATATTTGAAAATCTCTTCATGCTAAATGGCAAACATCCAGTGTAAGCATGTAATGGGCTGATAGCCTCTGTAACTTTTTGTACTAGTTGATCACATTTGCCACACGTAAAATTGAGGCATGAAGTTTTTTTTCCACCCATGGCAGTGCCATGAGCCTTATTTGCTCATCTGCATAGTTAATGCTAAAGAGATGTTCTCAAGTTTAACATAAAGATTCCTATATGATATTTGTTTTTTTCCACTGGTAAGAAAAAATAAGGAAGTAAGAGTGGCTACTGTTGCCAGGCATTGGTGACCCATGCCTTTAATCTCAGCACTCTGGAGGCAGAGGTAGGCAGATCGCTGTGAGTACGATGCCAGCCTGGTCTCCAGAGCGAGTGCCAGGATAGGCTCCAAAGCTACACAAAGAAACACTATCTCGAAAAAGAAAAAAAAAGAAAGAAAAAAAAAGAAAAGAAAAAAGTGGCTACTGTCCATTTTTTCTTTAAGTTGAAAACAAATGGACAAAATACCAATGAGTATTTCTTTGGCCTCCAACCACACAGTTCCAAATGCAGATGGGATCATTTGTAGTTTCTTATTAACATGTGGAGAGACCAGAGGCTAAGGGCTACTTTCCAGAACTTCAAGGCTGCCACAAGATTTTTTCTTCACTTGTTAGTATGAAAAACTATATGATGAAAAAATGTGTGCATGAATGAAAAGATGTCTCAGTAAGTCACAGCGTTTGCCATGCAAACATGAGGATGAGAGTCTGGATCCTAGCATCCATGTAAATTCTAGTGGGCATGGTAGACTACCTATAACCTACCATGTAAGAAGCAGAGATGGGATCCCTGGAGCAAGAGGGTAACTACACTAGCTGAATTAATGAGCCCTGGGTTCAACTGAGAGTTCCTGTCTCAATAAGGTGGAATATACTTAAGGTTAAACTTGGGCTTTGACAGGTACACACATGCACATACACCAAAAAGGCATGTGTGCCCACACATATTCTTGTACAAGTATACACCCCCCACACAGACACACACCTTAATTGCATTAAAGTGGCTCTAGGATGTAGACGTACTGAAAGGTGTGTCTGAGCATGCATAGGTAGATTCATACCTACATGTGTGCATCCAAAGGCCACAGGTACACCTCTGGTGACATGACTTAGAAGTCATTCACCTTGTTTGAGACAGTGTTTCTCATTGGGGCCTGGAGCTCACTCATGAAGCTAAGCTGGTTGGCCTGTGAGCTGTCGGCATCTGCCTGTGCCTACCTTTCCAGTGCTGGGATTGCAAGTATTACTACCATGGCCAGCTTTAAACATGGGTGCTGGCACCTGAACTCAGGTCCTTAACCTTTTCTGATGATGTAAGAAAATAATTACTGTTTCCTGCTTTACCTTTAGTCAGGCTACATTGAGGCTTGCATTTGTGGTCTGATAGTGACAAAACAGACATACAGATAAACAGAAAAACAAACAAACAAAAGACAAACAAACAAACAGACAAACAAAAGCAAAACCCAACAAGGCTAAGAAAAAGGGAAGATGACCATGTAGCTAGCCAGGGTATAAGTGTGCAATCAGCGGTGATTAATAAAGCATTTGGTCCAAATCTCTGCCTGAACATGCAGTTAATTGATTTCTCATTTCAGGAGAAGCAGTGGGGCCTGGCAGTGGCAGCAGCAGGAGCCTTTCCCTAATAAAGCATTTGGTCCAAATCTCTGCCTGGACATGCAGTTAATTGATTTCTCGTTTCAGGAGAAGCAGTGGGGCCTGGCAGTGGCAGCAGCAGGAGCCTTTCCTCTTCATTCACTATTTTTCTTACAGAAAAATTTGTAACCCAAAGTAATTCAAACCCAGAGGTCCTGAGCATCATGGTAGGCTCTCCAAAGACAAAAAGTTATTGAGGACCACTCCAAGTTGAATATCAGAACAAAACTTAGAAAAGGTATGACTTTTTTTCATTTCAATAGTTTCTTCAGTGATTCCTCATTGATGAATTTGCTCTCACCAGAAAAACTAAATCCTACTCATTTAAAGGTAACAGTATCTCACACTAAAATCGTCTCTATCCAGATATAAAAAGCATTACATTGCCAATAGAAAGGCAACAACATCATGAATCAACAATGATTCCTTAAGCCAGAAAAGCTTGGAGGAAAAGTAGTCTATTTGGATTATAATTTATTCACGGATCAATCTAAAGGTAATTGAGCATATTACAGAGTGGAAAAGGGTTCTTGCTTTTAATAGAAGTAGGTACCAGCATCATCCAGTTTAAATTGCATAACCTTATGAGGATGGCATGGAGTTGGCTAATAGCACACTCTATAGAACTGTAGTGCATCAATTCTATTTTCTTAATCATTCTCTCTTATCTGATTGGAAACAATAACTGCAAGAAGAGTAATTACTGTGATATCTACATGGTAATAGCATGAAAAGATAAAAGGATTGCAGAGTTACACTAAGCAATATACATATGGATCAGTACAAACTCAGAAAATTTGATTTGCCAACTTACCTCCTTTGTGTGTGCCATTTGCATTTCTGTGCATTGGCACACTAAAAGATAATACAGGTGTAAAAATATACCTTTTACAACTATCTAATATGGATTTTTATTTTTCAAGTACCA